ATGAAAACGCAAACGCATGCTATGAAGCACTGTCAAGAGCATGCCAAACCAACATGTGGCGATATAATCTCAACCGTAAAGCCAAGTTGGCGGAGTAGGCGGAGATAACAGCGCACGCAGGCTCCGACGTCACAAGCCAAAAACTCCGGTTTCGCCGTCTACACGATAACACTGCAACCGGAATTTGTGAAAATCTTTACCCTGGCAGGCGTTTTCAAAAATGTTCGGTTTCAGTGACCTGGAGCTGCGTTTGCATGTGGACGAACGGCCAAACCACATAGAAAAAGATGCGGTTTTAAAAATAACCACGTTCGTGTGGACAGGGCCTCAGATTAACTTTGTTCATGAAAACTCCTCAAGCCCCAGTTGGCCCGCTTTGGACCAAGGTATTGGTCAGGCCAAAAGCCCCTGTCTGCTGGCCCAGAGGAGGCCTGATCAAGCCCTGGATGTGACAGTGGAAACACGACTGTCGCTGGTACACACTAACACACTCACTTACTGCCCATCAACTGAAACGCAGATTACGACATCAAACTGACATATATCTCTTGTACATTATGGATGCAATGTGTGTGCGGCCTACAGAAAGGTTATTTCAATAACACATCTGTGTGTCTTAATGCGAAGAAGATCCCACACGTGGAGTTCAGGAGAAGAAACGCTAGATCAGCTTAATGTCAGCACTTATAAAAATACTGACTTATTTATGGATCGATTCAGTGAATATTTACTTTATATTCAGGTATGTTAAAGTGTATTATTATAATATCTTGTAAACTGAATTGTTTTTACTGTAGCCTCAGTTTTTGTTTGATACTGTTGCATAGTTCACTTGAAAAAAAAAGATGGTTTTCAGTGTTTTCAATTCAGAAGTTTATTTGGAGTTTAATGGTACAGAAAATAACATTATTTAGGCTACTTCTGAATTATTTTTTAGCGCTGTCAAAATTAGCTTGTTAACGCAGGTGATTAATTTTTCTAGTTTTTCCAAAAATATTTAACGCAGTTTACGCAGGGGCGGAGCCACCCCACTCACAGCTGCTGCTTCGGTCTCTTTTTTTCCTTGAGAAGAATTGCATTTATTTAGATGCAGAACGTCAAACAACAAACAGGAGACGTTTGAGACGCGCACTCTAACTTCACTTCAGCACCAAGCGCTAGTCAAATGAGTGCGGGGAATGTACTGTGCTCATAGCGCATGCTCTTCAATTGCATGCACAAAGGCGCCGGCGAGCACTGTATCATTTCATATCAAAGTGCGAAAGAAACTATGTGCATATGAATGTCATCAGTTAAGTCATGAAGTTACCAAAAAGGCGATTAAAGCTGCCTTAAAACTGTGCATGCATGTACGTATTTGAGTCACATTTAAGAACATATGTCTCTGAAATGGTTTGCACAGCGCCGCATTAAGTCGAACACACCTTTTGTGTGGTCATGTGATCTCAACATCTGTCCACGTGGTGACCGGCTCCATGACAAATTAAACCACTTAAATTACAACAGTCATATGAGTTTCTTCAACAATATCATTCATTTCTATAGAGCTGGACATTTTAATGAGGATCAAATGAGTGAGTTCAGCTTTGAGAATAAACACTAACCTGTTTGTGTCTCAGTATCTTCATGTTTCACTCTGAATGTTTCTTCAATCTTCATGTCTTCACTCTCCTCTTTAATAAACACCATGTGCATGAATGTCATCAGTTAAGTCATGAAGTTACCAAAAAGGCGATTAAAGCTGCCTTAAAACTGTGCATGCATGTACGTATTTGAGTCACATTTAAGAACATATGTCTCTGAAATGGTTTGCACAGCGCCGCATTAAGTCGAACACACCTTTTGTGTGGTCATGTGATCTCAACATCTGTCCACGTGGTGACCGGCTCCATGACAAATTAAACCACTTAAATTACAACAGTCATATGAGTTTCTTCAACAATATCATTCATTTCTATAGAGCTGGACATTTTAATGAGGATCAAATGAGTGAGTTCAGCTTTGAGAATAAACACTAACCTGTTTGTGTCTCAGTATCTTCATGTTTCACTCTGAATGTTTTGGACACTTTGTCCTGTTTAAGACCAGAATAATTAACAGAAAGAAAATTAAATCCAAACTAAATCTCTGGGTGCGTCTCAGTCAGCTCCCTAGTTCAGTAGTCAGTGCACTGGTAAAGCCGAGAACACGCTACACGACTTTCAGGCAGATTATAAATGGAATTTGGTATTGGCAGCTGGGTCTGTTCCAGGGCTCAGTCGCTGTTTGCAGTCGGCAGAAAAATCGCATAGTGTGTGGTGTCTAAAGATTATAATCTTAGAATTCAAGAACCAGTCGTTGCCAGTCATTTTCACAAAGATTGTTTTAAACATGTTTAATATTTGCGACTGACACCAGCGATTGTATGCGGCTTTGCAGTGATGCGTTCACTGTCAAACATTATTCAGAATTCATTTTATAATTTTGCAATATATTTTTCTTGATTACAAGAAAAACCTCAATTGTTCTTGTTGTGATTTATTTCTTGTCTTTCTTTTAATTATAAGTTAACACTGCAAATTAAACGGTTTAATTTTTTTCTGCAGTCGAAGAAAGTATAGCCTAAATTATGTCAGTGATCTCTCATTTAAAGATTACCAAGAATTCTTTTATTTTGATCTGCAGTCTAATAAGTTTTTTTCTTAATTCAACTTAAAGCTGCAGTCCGTAACTTTTTTTGATTAAAAATTATCCGAAATCAATATTTGAGCAAGTACATGACCAGCCAGTGTTCAAAACTATCGCCTTACTTTAGCCCGACTCACAAATGTTAGCTTATAATAATGTTTTCTAATTTGAGTGGTACGGGTAGGTTTTCGCGAGAAGGGAGCATAATTTGCTTTTTTGAATTTCTTAATATGAAATTCGAATGGTATGACAATTAGATTAGACTGTGCAGAAATTGAAATCTACACACTAAGTGATGAGACCAAGATAAATGTTTTTGGAACCGATGGCTTCAAAACTGTATGGCGTCGCAAAGGTGAGGAATACAAAGAAAAATGCATGGTGCCTACAGTGAAACATGGTGGTGGCAGTGTCCTTATGTGGGGCTGCATGAGTGCTGCTGGTGTCGGGGGGAGCTGCATTTCATTGATGGCTTCATGAATTCACAGATGTACTGCTCTATACTGAAAGAGAAGATGCTACCATCACTCCGTGTCCTTGGTCGTTGTGCACTTTTCCAACATGACAATGATCCTAAACACACATCTAAGGCCACTGTTGGATTTCTGAAGAAGAACAGGGTAAAAGTGATTCAGTGGCCAAGTATGTCCCCTGATCTGAACCCAATCGAACACCTATGGGGAATTCTGAAGAGACAAGTTGAGCATCACTCTCCATCGTGTGGGGCGGAGCTATCAAAATAGAGGCGAGAGGCCCTTTTGGGGTAGGGGCGTGTTTGTTTTGGTGATTTCAAATGTCAACATTGGCTAACACCTATGGGGAATTCTGAAGAGACAAGTTGAGCATCACTCTCCATCCAGCATCCAAGTCTCTAAAAGAGGTCATTCTTGCAGAATGGAAAAAGATAGATGTTGCAAAATGTCGCCAACTTGTTCATGCCATGCCTAGAAAACTTGGTACTGTCATTAAAAATCATGGAGGCCATACAAAGTACTAGATGTAGTAGTTTTTGTTGTGGGGTGTACTCATTTTTGCATCACCCAAATTTGAGTAAAACTGAAAAATGTGTAATCTAAGTTATATTATTAACCTTACTTTCATGTTATAAGTTAAACAGATGTTATATTAAACTTAGTCTTGTCAACATTTTGGAAATTGTTTTTGTGTTCATTGAGATGAATGTTACTTTTCAAAGGGGGTGTACTCATTTACGCTGAGCACTATATATAAATA